CCCCTATCCCAATTATTCTACGTATTTCTATTCAGAAACTTTCTAGGATTTTTTCAGGATTTTTACCAATTCCCATTTTAATAAAAAAGGATAAAAATGATTTGGAATAATTGAATACTTATGAATATGAAAAATACAAATTAGTTTGCACAGATCGAAAAGTTTTTAAATTGAGTTTATCATTGTTTCCATTAGAATTATTGATCCAATAGTTAGCTGTTGAAATTACTTGAATTTTAGTAAACATTCTTGAAAAATTCTTAAATACGTTTTATTAATTCGATTTTAGCTTTTGCAAATAGTTTTCAAAAGTAGAATCTAAGGTACTAAGGTAGTTGTTAATACTCAGATGGAATTCATTAGTATTAACAATTTCTTTAAATCAAGTAAATTTTCGTTTCTCTCTCTCTCCAAAACTAATTACAGAAATTGTCAGTCATGTTTGCGAAAAATACAAACATGTTTAATAATTATGTTGATGGTTTTTAAGTTTATTGAACCAAATAAACTTAAATTTGATTCACAAACAACAGTTTTACGATATATATGATGCAAGAATAACATTGATCATGTTTTTTTCTTCAAATTTTCACCACACTAAAACAATATAGTTGGTCCTTGATGAAGAAAGATCTATCTTTGGAAAGTGCTTGAATTATGGGGTTTCTTTCTTTCTTTTTTTTTTGTCTTTGATTTTTTAAACCTTCGTGTTTTTCTAACATCATGAAAGAAAACACTATAGTTGCTATTTTTAGTAATTACACCCATACATATAAAGTAACTTTGAATCGGTTAAACACGTCTATATAATTCAACCCTGCATACGTCACCGACTCCAAGCAACATTTATAGGGGAGAAAAAACAATAACAACCTAACTCATATCAATTTGTACAGGTATCTATCTTGGTCACCCCTTAAAATGGACATGGCACTACATAGGGAGGTCAGACACAGGGTAAAAGTGATACGAGTTTCTAGACGTTGGTACATAGAAAAAAATATATATACGCTTACGACTTTTCGACATTCTATTAACAAGAACGACATATTCCTGCAGGAAAATTTACAATTTTTTTCTTAATTTACTAGCCTCATCCATACACACAGTGGCTCAGCGGTAAGCCACAGGATTATAACGCTAAAAATCGGATTTCGATACCCGTAGAGATCAGCGCACACACAGCCAATTGTGTAGCTTTGCGCTAAACAAACGAAGTAAAATTTACAACATAACACGTAAAAGAAATTAAACTTTTTTGTTGTTATTATGTTTCATAAACTAAGAGAATCGATATAACATCAAATACAGTGTCATACTATATAAGAAACTAATGAAGATCAAATGGCGTGTCTGTTATGTTATATTAATTTTTGAAATAAGGCCAGAATTCTCAGTGAGTCTGTGTGAGTAAATTAGAGATGTCACTCTTTATCTATACTTATTGTTGGATTTAAAGATATAATAAAATACGCTTCTGTAAATTTTCTCTCACTGTAACATTAGCGTATAGGGGGTTTTGACTTTTTAGAGTGTTATTCATAGAATTTATTTCGTGATTTTTGATAAAGAGTTCAGGAACAGTATTATTGGTATCTAAGTTGTTAATGTTATTGACATGTACCATAATACTTGAATGCTGGTGTTTTCTTAATAAAAACATTATGCGATAACTTTTCCCTTCTATTACTTGTTTAAGTCATCCCCTAATGCTAAGTTATCTCATGCAGTCATACAAGTTAACATAATAAGGTCCTTGATTTTTTACAAATAAAGTATGATAGAAAACAAAAATTATCGTGGCAGTTATATTAGTGGTGCCATCTTCTGAAGACCTTGAGATTGTTTCACATGATCATTACTAGGTGGCAACTTTGTAAATTTGGCGGTGCGTGTGCAAAAACCCCACGTGTGGCGCGCAATCGTAATATCAGGAAGTAGCATTCTTTCCATATTGAGTGGTTTGAGAATCGGACACTGATTAAGAAGTGGTATTAATAGGTAAGTAATATCAAAATTTTTATGATTAATGTAAATTATATTTGACCAATAAAACTTCTAAAATATAAAATTGAATATTAACATTAATATGGTAAAGTGTCAAACCAAACTGATATGTTAAGGATTTAATATTTTACTTTTAAGTCGTTTTAGGGTTAGTGTGCTGTTTTAACTTTAAGGTTAAACGAACTTTGTAGAACTTGTACTGCTGTAGTAGTAGTAGTGGTGGTAGTTGGACTACTCTACTATTATTTTCAGCTTAGAATTTGGATTCTAATTCATTGTACCGGTAGGTATTTTGAAAGTTATGCTTAATTATTGATTCATATTAAACTACAAACTCGCAATAACATGTATTAAGTATTAGATGCTGGCAGTTAATCGTAATTACTAATACTAATAATATTAATAGTAAATCTCGATAATATTAACAAATATTAAAATAATGAAATTTTACGTTTAGCATTACTACTACTACTAGTTTAACGTAGTAAATGTGATTAAGAGTAAGACATGAAGCTGATAATAAAATTAATATTAATCACGCGTACCAAAGCTACTGCGTGCGCACTAATATTACAATACATACACACACTAACGTTAGGCCTAAAATCAACAGGAAAAAAATTTTTCAACCTGAATTTTAAAGGCTTCAGTCAGCCATTTTGTTTTTATGTGTATGTTTTATAAATTAATATTGTCATTTAAGGTTGGATTTTAGTTTACTTTGGGAAGTCATTGGGTATGCTGAGGATTAAAGTAATGGAGGATATGATTATCAATATATGAGAATTCTCCAATATACAATTTGGCAGCTTATGTGAGGTGGGTAAAATGAACTGGTATTTTGCTTCTAAAAAATTACCTACAAGTGCAGTGTAGTAGAGCTCTCCAGAGTAACAGTAGTTTTAATGTGAACTGAATGAATGATTAAGAGATAAATAATAGGAATTGCACAAGAATAGCTTGTAGAACCTCTTAAATCAATATCACAATTATTTTAATTACAATTTTATACTTTCACTGCCTGTTTTATTTTCTTTATCCTGACATTAACTGTAGTGAAATCATTACACTTTTAACACGACAAGCAGTAAGTCACTAGTTAGGATAGGGCATTAGAGTGTAAACAAATTGTCCAGGTTACATTGTGTGCATAGAATGTAGATTAATGAAATAAATTATTTTCTATTTAAGATTTTTTATTTAACCTGATGAGTTTTTGCATTTTATATTTGTGTGTAAAAATGATAAATACATGAAGAACAATTTGGAACATGCCTTAGTTCTAGGTCATTGTATACTGGGTTAAAGGCCATGAATACTTTTATAACTAAGTTTTCATGTTAAGTTTCTTGTAAAAAAAAAATAATTCATAACTTTTAAGTATGAGTTTTAGAAAGCTTAAAACCTCACTCACTGGATTGTAATTTGGGGAAAAAAAAATCTAAATGAAAAATTATAGCTCCACCATGTTGATTCTGAGAATTGTAAATTGAAAATTAATTTATTTCCATTTAAACTTAAATTAAAAATTGGATGATAGAAAATTTAATTAAAAGCTTTTGAGTATAACTGTAGAAGGTCATGACATGAGCACTTTGACCCCAATATAATGAAAGTGTTAACATAGCATATATAGACAACAAAATATCATACGTCTAGGCCATCCCATCCACAAAATTAAGCTTTAAAGTAAAAATAACACCAAAAGCCAGACATAAACATTGAATTATTTATTGTTCCCTCAAATTCCGTTAAGTTTACTATATCCATCGCATCCGAAGGCAACCCCTTCCGAGGTCTGATCTCCCTATTAGGAAATTAAAACTGGATATGGCAGATGCAGTTTGGATCACATTGTAATGTCATCTCCTTTGCTTTTACTTGTGGGTTCTTAAATTACTGTTTTTGTTTTCAATTGATGTTGTAGTTAAGATGACCCACCCTTGGAACAAGAAAATTAGCTTGTTTGTTCACCTGTTCTCACGACTGATGGAAAAGCTGAAATTCAAAAATATATACAATAAACAGTGTTAGGATAATATATCGGTTATTACCTAATAATCTGATTTGTAGATGACTTAAATAAAATTGACAGTTAACTTGTGCAATCTGATTTGTAACCACAGTTGTTGTGCATGAAAAATTGACACACATACACACATTACCTAGACCACCACTCTCAATTGGATTGTATCAACTCTTCTGTTACTCAAAAGAAAACAATTTCAGAGATGTTAACTTGTCATTGTACAACAACCTTTCCATCCAGGTATTGTCCTAATAGCCTTTCTGTGATCCTTTCTAATAGCTCAATACTTCAAATATGGCCTAACCAGTAACCTGTACAGATGAGATTATTACTCGCTTAATTCCTATTCAATATTGCTCTAGGCACAACCTAAAATCCTATATGCCTACCACTAGCTAAAGCACTGCTTGGATTACTTAAGACTGACTAGAATGCTTATAGTACTTCGAATTAGTGAATGTGTTTACTGCATTTTATATGGAATTATTTAAAAAAAGTAATACATATTATATCCCACATGTATTAATATGCATTTATTATAATTAAAAGCGATCTGCCATTTATTGTACAACTTGCCAAATAAACCTAATCCTTTTCTAAAGTGACAGCATCAGCATTCTCACAACAAGTTGTGCCCAGCACCCTAATGTCAGCAGATTTAAATCATTTATTGCCCATTTCTTCGTCTATGTCATTGATGTAAATCAAAAATCTTAATAGTGACTAATCCAGTTTCATTGAACTTTGTTTATAACAAACTCCTGCTTCTTTCCATCCATATCATGAAGTAATATACTTATTTTAAATGACAGATTCCCTGGTTTTAGCACAGTAGTATTGTGGAAATTTATTAGGAGTAACCCACGGAATGCTATTAATCATATTTGCTTATTGAAGGCTTTGATATGCATATATAAATTTTCATGTAATTTTAGCATTAACAAATATTTAACATTAAATTATTGTACCTTATTATTTCCTCTAGCTTTTCATGTTTTTGTCACAAATTTTTAAGGCAATTTTGTATTCTGACTTTTAATTTTTTTTTATCAAGCTATTGTCTTAGTTTTTGTACAGGCCTTGGTTGGAGCCTTTTTATGGGGTCACACTAAGTGGTTTGTTAATTTACAAATGAAAAGCAACTCTGAATACAGTTACAATGAAAGATTGAATGTGATTTGATACGGCAAGGATTAGACTACCACATCAGATTAAATGTATAGATTTGAAGTTCTTTTTTTATAGTTTTTGTAAATGGCCCTTTCATTTGAGAATTGTGAAAGTATTTATCTGGAGCAGTGGTCAGATGCACAAAATTATGATTTGATATAATAGTCCACGAGTTTCAGTTAAACTTGTTAGTCACAAGCTTTTATTTTTATTACTTCAGCCTTAGTCAGCATTCACTGATAGTGTTGTTATAAGACTAGTCTAGGTAAATTAATATGAAGAATTATAAACAAACTTTTCTGTACTTTAAAATACTTTTATTGCAAGCTTTCAGCCCTCTTGCTGGAACCTTCATTGGGCAATAGTTTATATAACTACACATTCACCGATAGTGACAAATCAACCAAAATTGATGATGCTGGATTAGCTCTGACAAAACATAAATGCATGTAATTTGTTGCTTTTATATCCCATTTTAACTGTTTTATACTGTGAAATAATAGTTGCTTATAGTACTTAGAATTAGTGGATGTATTTACTGTATTTTATATGGAATTATATAAAAAAAAAGGGGGTAATACAAATTTAAATCAAAATATCTTAGTTTAAACAGCTTTATTATTTCTGCAGTACATCATGAGTTCTTCTGAGTGTTACAAATGCCACCGTACTGGTCATTTTGCTCGAGAGTGTACACAGAGTGATGGAAGAGGAGGTGGAGGAGGATACAGAGGACGTGGTGGTGGAGGGGGTTTTCGTGGTGGCCGTAACAACCAACGAGGTATAAAAGTACCAAATCAAAAAGTCTACAGATGTTGCCTGTTAAGTTTCATTAGTGAAATTGCTATATATATATTTCTCAAGGAGTCTCTTCAACATGAGTTTATTTCATGTGTTTCAAAGAGTGTCTGAATAGAGTAATAAGATTGGTCTGTCGTTGAGAAAAAAATATTTAATTTTTAATCGGTGCATCAGTGTCATTTAGTATGATCCTGTGTATTTAGTTTTTTTTTGGACATAAATTTTTTTATTCTGAACTTAGGATCTCTAATTTTTAAGTTTTGTGAATATTCATAATATTGCTGTTAAAATAGGTTAATTAAAAGCATTGCTTAAAACTCATGCAGCTTTCTATTTCTCAGCAATAAAATATGGTAACTATTTGAAACTTTTGATATTTGTATATTCTAGAATGGAAATTCACTATTAATTTAGATATATAAAGATATATAGGAATCGGTATGTTATCTCCAAAAACCTGCATTATTGTTAAACCTGATCTTGATAATGAATTTTGTCTAAGCATTTTTCAAAATGGAGTCTGCAAGTTACGTCAAATTTCATAAAAATATTTTAAAGAATGATTTATAGTAAACTAAATAAATTTTTTTGTAAAATAAATTTTATATTTATTAAAAATAATTTTGAAATACAGCTTCTCATATATACTCTTTTTTTTAAAAAAAACTATCAATAGGTTTGGGGGTTACTAAAGTTTAATAACTTCTGGCATAAGATATTAAATTTTCACACTTGAGGCCAACATTGTAGTAATTTTAAGGGCTCCACAAATTTACAAAGTTAGTGGTATTAAAACTAAAAGTTACCATATGGGGTGGAAAAGTGAGATAACTTTAATTTTCTTTTATTTAGTGTCTATGTATGATAGAATGTTATTCCTATATAGTTATTTATTAGTATTAGTAGTAATGTTAGCCTAACAGCTACCTCATTATTATACTGCCAGTAGTTAGTCATTCAAAATGTATGTTACATATACCTAACTTGTACAAGATTTTAGTATCACTGTTAAATACCTCAGCAGAATTATATTTTGTTCAGGTGTTTCAGTTTGAATTATAATAATTGGCTTATGTATTAAAATGTTATTGTGTGGTAAGTACACAATGATTATTTTAAGAACTAATTAAAATGTTAATAATATGAAATAAATGTCAGTCTGAACTTTGCTTGACAATACCTGAAAGGATAGCCAATAAATTACTTAAATTTGCAGATGATATTAAGTCTTGGGTGTTGCTAGCTGTGAAGAGGATGCTGCTGATTTACAAAAGGATTTAGATCATTTAGTGAGTTGGGCAAATAAATGGCAGATGGGTTTTAATAAGAATAAATGTAAGATAATACATGTGGGTTATCTTAATTTGAATTATAAGTATAATTTGGATGGAAATAACCTTAACAGTGTTAAGAAGGAAAGGGATCTTGGTATAATAGTCGATCAGTCTCTAAAGTCATCTCAGCAGTGTGCTGTTGCTAGTGGTAGGGTAAATAGGATTTTAAATTGTATCTACAGAATTATTGAATACAAGTCTAAACATGTTATAATTTCATTGTACTGGTCACTGGTTAGGCCACATTTGGAATATTGTGTTCAGTCTTGAGCTCCTTACCTTAGGAAAGTCATTGAATTGTTATAAAGGGTTCAGAGGAGGGTTACTAGATTGGTGCCTGGGATGAAGGGATTGTCATACGAGGAAATTGTTTTCTCTTGAAAAATGAAGAGTTAGAGAGGATCTAATTGAGGTGTTTAAGGTTGCAAAGGGAATTGATAGTGTTGATGTATCATCGTTTTTCATATTTAACAGTGAGAATAGTAGGACGATAAATATAAATTCTTGTTTTTTCGTTGTTGTTAGGCTACTTGTGATTCGAACTGTTACGTTAGCTCCTGTTGTTTACTAAACGTCTAGCACCAGTATAAGGCTTAGGTAATTGAGCCGAAAGCTAATGCATTAAAAAAAACAACAAAAAACGTGGTGATAGTCCAAATAAATTACTTTAATACAAGTATGAGTACTCACGTTAAAAGCATAAAAAGTTAATATTTTTCATTGTTGGTTTAATGTTTGGGTTCAGAATAACCTGAGCACATATTGTTGGGTTTACGGCCGATAACATAAATACTAACGAGCCTGCCCAACTGATAATCAGAGAGTTTTCAGATTTCTGGTGTAGAAGTTGATAACATTAAATATTTAAGTTTTTTTTTTTTAATCTTTGTCTTCAGTAATGTTCTAAATTATTTTAGTTCTGATCTATTTATGTAATTCACTTTCCTTCAGAACTTTCATAATCATCACACAAAACTACATTCATTAACAAAAGTGGAATAAAATAAAACTATTTTATGGCTTGGCGACATTTTACTTAACAAAGTTAGAGCCAAGACCAGGATAATCGTATGCCTGCCCACGAAAAGAACTTTTTCATTTGTATAACAGAAATGTATCGATCGCCAGGCTGGTGTACTGTAAACGATTTTCTTCATTAGATACCTTTCTGTATGACAAAAATAATCATAAAAAAATTTAAATTACAATATTCTTCCACCTTCCTCTGAAAACGAACCCTACAATTTTTAATGCTTTGTTTATTTGTTGTTAAGCACAAAGCGAAACAAAGGGCTAACTGTGCTCTGTTCACCGCAGTTATAGAAACATAATTTTTAGCGTTATAAGCCTACAGACTTAACGCTGTGAAACTGCATAATTTGGTTTAATGCTACTCTTACTACAAACGGTAATTCTGAAGGCTTAGAACGCTAAAACCGGGTTTCGATACCCATGGTGGACACAGATAGTCCATTGTGTAGAAATATTAACTCCTGTCTACAGAAGCATGTATCTTACTTAGATGATTTTTCAGTATTTATTATAAATAAGCTCTTAATGACATAAAGGTTTCGAACTTCCGAAAGATGATGAAAATAATAATTTGGAATACCCTTGTTCGTCTTAGTTTAAATCTAATCCACTCACAAAAATCACTTGTTCTGATTAACCCTAGTTCTAACATACCAGCAACACAAGACGGCACGTGTGTCCACGTTCCATTACGACATGTCGCGGGCATCGCGTTATAAACAAGCTCGTGCTGGGGTTTACAATCCACCAGTAGATGCTGGTCGTGTTCTATTGTCGATCCAGGGGCAAAATGATTGACTCGTCCATTTTGAACATCCGGTGCAATGCAAGGGGCTAGAGAGAAGGAAGTTGGTCAACTCAAGTATTACATAAATTTAGAGCTTAATGTTGACCTGCTGAAGTAATATGTCAAATACTGACTTGGTAAAGTGACAAGTAAACCTAAAGACAAATATTGACTTGGTAAGGTGACAAGTAAACCTAAAGACAAATATTGAC